TAGTTGTGTGTGTAGTTGTTTGTAGCACTGTGTAGTCGTGTGTGTAGTTGTTTGTAGCAATGTGTAGTTGTGTGTAGCCCTGTGTAGTTGTGCTGTTGTGTGTGTGCCACTGTGTAGTTGTGTGTAGCACTGTGTTGTTGTGTGTGTAGTTGTGTGTAGGCCTGTGTAGTGTTGTTGTGTGTGTAGTTGTGTGTAGGCCTGTGTAGTTGTGTGTAGCATCATGTTTTGTGTGTAGTTGTTTGTAGCACTGTTTAGTTGTGTGTCTAGTTGTTTGTAGCAATGTGTAGTTGTGTGTAGCCCTGTGTAGTTGTGTGTAGCACTGTGTTGTTGTGTGTAGGCCTGTGTAGTGTGTGTAGCACTGTGTTTACTGTGACATAGCTCTGGCTTCACTTCCCATCAGGTTGTGTGCATCTTCTTCCTCTAAGTGTTGTGTTCACAGTTTGTTTGCACGTCACCTCTGTCACTGACTCACTAAAGACACTGTGAAGGAAGCTCCACTATAACACAGATGGAGCCAGCCGTGCTCTCTGAGGTGTGGGTGAAGTGAACCGTGGGCCCCGGCCCCTTGTTACAGCATGTACCACAGCCTCTGGCTTAACCACAGCTGCTGGGGGACTCCATGGTGACAGGTCGGAGATCTCAGGCCCAAAACACAAGTCGTAAACAAGCTCTTCTTAAAATGACTGCAGTATATTGATGAGGCAGCTCGTGCAGACGTCTCTTCAGCGTGAGGGCCATCTGTCTGTCTGCATGATTTACAACTGCTCCAAACAAAAGAGCAGGATAAGGTGCTGGAGTAAAAGAGTATAATAATCGCATGGAAAGAATCATCCGGAAAAGTGCCTGTAAGACTTGTCACTGTTGAAGTGAGCATTCACAGCTCTGCCACACCATCCTTCAGTGTTATTAGATATGCTGCATTGACTGGGAGAAAGGACCGATCTCAACAGAATTTCATTTCAAGACTCCCTGTCAGTACTTATTCAGTTTGTAATGTGCAGGTCTCTTCATATGAAAATGTCTGCGCTCGTCTGTTCTTTGTCAGTGCCGCCCGAGGCCTGGACACTGGCTCAATACAGCCATCTAGTGTACATGTACTGTCACAGCACCCAGTGTACAGCCTGCGAAGGGTTTCATCAGAAACTACATCTCAAACAACAAAAAAATGAAAAGATGTGATGAGGTTTCAGTGCTTTACCTTAATTTCACAGAGTTATCCGTCTATGTAATTTGCTGCCAAAGTTTTAATTCAATTGTTCAACAGCTACATTTCCAACTAATTACTTCCAGTGCGAAGTTACTGATTAATAATGTTTACTTTGGTTTAAATGAATCAGCGCTTAAAACCAAATTAGTTTTTCATTCAAGATTAGCATCAAATTACACAAGTCTTTTCAGGACATTTTGTGGGAAGTTAGTAGAAATGATTTAAAGTGTTGCCACTGAGCTTTTATTGGGCTTTCAGTCACATCTTATAATCTTTATTAGCTCCCTTGTAATCACACAATTAATGAAATCAAGAAGTTTCCCCCAGAATGTCGTCATGTGACAAGTTACATAATTAGATCATGTGATGACGGAGTTGCTTCCCTCCTTAGTCAACAAAGTGTTTGCTCATTGTCGGAACTGTTGAGCTTCTCTGCATAGAAGGTCAAGACCTTAAAAATTATAAAGTATCTTGAGATAATGTATATTAGGATTTGGTGCTATATGCAAATGAAATTGAATTGACAAGTTGATGAGGAAGACTGTGAGAAACAGTTTAAAGATAAGAAGTGACCTTTAGTCAAGGTGGTTATTTAATTGAACTTTCTTGCTCAGCAGTAATTCCATGACTTAAAATATTCAATAGTTGGCATCCATCTTGTTTCCAGAATCTGACTAATCTTTTAAGGCAAAATGAACTAGACATTTTCACAGGATCAAAGCAATGTAGGCTACTTTAAATTCTAAGTATTTACAAAATGCAACAAAGCCATCCAAGTAGTAGACGACAATTAGCAGCAATTTAAATGCAGAACTGGGGCATTTTTATATTGAGGTATTTCTTCTTTCCATATTTCTGATATGTCTCCAAAAAGCCAGAATAGCCACGTTTTTCTTTAACAGGTGAACATTTAGCGATTCATTGGTGCAGAGGTGTAAAGTGTAAATTTCATGAAACCTCAGACACAAGTGATAAATCTCTCCAAACACATTTGGATACCGGAGAGCAAAGAAAATCTTGTCTGTGCTCCTTAGCGGGGGACTGGGCCTGGAGAGCTCGTTCGTCTTCATCCATCGCTCTCAACCTCCTCACACTTTCCTCCAATGACTCATACCCTGCTATTTATAACCAGGTGCATTGTTCTGCTCCTCATCTCAACTCACTTAATCTGGCCCACACAATAAGGAGAATAAAGATAAATGTCTCAATCTGTAATATTACTGTCACATACTATCAGGATGGAGCACGAGCAGGGTGGGGGGGGGGGGGGGGGGGGGGGGGGGGGGGGGGGCTTTATCTGCAGGAGGACATGTGAGCTGATGTGAGAGACGAATAAAAAAGCAGCCGGTGTAAAACAACAAAGATAATACATTTAATATTGTTTCTCTTTTGGGCAATGCGAGATACAATGTAAACATGTACAAGATACAAAAAAAGGAACAAGACTTGTCAAAATGAAACAGTAGATAAGAAAAATGTCCTGTTTTCAAAAAGGAATGCACATGTGCAGAAAGTCTCCCATCAGAGAGGAATCTGGACTCTGTTGCTTCTTGCTGCACATTGCGATGTATATATGGCCTTTTCACTGTGTGTGATTTGGCAGCCAGATGAGTCATCATTGGATGATTCACTGAACTTTACAGTTGTATAAAGCCTCCTGAGCCTTCTCATGGCAAATCTTTTTGAAAACGAGGGGTTTGCAAGAGTTAAACACAATTTGCATAACAACGATGGTAATAGGAAACAGAGAGAAACCAAGAACTAAAAAGAAGAGCACCTCCTTTGGTCCAACTCAAGGCCTGCAGTTGTTTTTGTGTTTCTGAGTGTGGCTGTCATGCTGGTAACGGATTGTTTTTGTCAGAATTTACAGATCAAGAGCTCGACGGCGTCAGGCTTCCAGGTTTCTTTGGCACACTGCTTTGCACAGCAGGGTGGTGTCAAATCCAATCCTATAAATGCAACATCGAGGCTAAAAACAGGCTCCACCTTCTCATGAATCTACGTCAGCTGTCACTCAGCATCAATCACTCCTGACAGCTCGCCTCCGCCGCACAAACATGGCTGAGCTCCATCCAGCAGCACAGGCTCCCACGCAGAGTGGCAGCAGCCTCGCTGATTAAGAAGCCGTTAGCGCTGGAATATCGTCTGACTGGCTAAGGTTAATTAAGACACACTGTTGTGCTAATTAGAAACGGGGATTCAAACAGAGACAAAGAAAAGTACCACAGAGACACAGCGGCGCGTCTCGTTCCTCAACACAGCCTCCTCTCTGGAGCTGGGAGACAGCTCCCGCTGATGCCCGCTGGTGCGTCAAACAACTCCCATTCTGTGAGGAAGTTTTCTGAATGACATAAATAATCAGCATTCCCTTATTCACAGGCCTGTTTTTCCTTTTTTTATACACCAGAGAAGAAAAAGCCCTGCAGCTCTGCTTGTTCTTTTCTCTCTTCCCTTGCACTCAAACAAAAACTAGATATTAATTAAGAAACCTACAAAATCAACCCCCTAAATACCTCCCACCTGCTCCCCCACACTTACTCAAACTTTCCTATCAAACCTACCCCTCCTTCCATCAAACTCCTGTCTTCATTAACTCCAGAGCTGAGTGCTGTTGCTCTTTTTTCATTTCTTTCCATTATGAATTAAAGCTTGTTTCATTAGATAAGAATGAACCCCCTCCAAACCTGTGTTGCACTCAGTGAAGACACAAAGGAATACGTCAGGGGAAGAAAAAGCCACAAGGAATCCACCATATGAAGCCATTTTTTTTTTGTCTTATTCCCAAAAACTTTTTCCAGCACCCAGCTTGACTCTCTCACCCTCCGGGCTACATGAGATCTGAAGACACTGACAGTGAAAGAAGCTAAAAACTAGACGTGGGATCTGCTCCAAAGGTTTTTTTTTCTCCCACGGACGGAGAGTGAGGCCCCGAGAAGCTGCCGTATGCTGTGACTGATTTGTCTCTGCAGTGTCTTGTTGAAGCAGCTACCAAAAATTTCAAGTGCTGCAATTAAAACAATGTTTGGTGAGAATTCAGAGCTCAGGGTTAGAAGCAGCGAGCTCATTAGGTGTCAGGTTTTCAGAAAGGTGGGTAAAGGAGTTTTGATAGAGTGGGTGGACTCCCTGTTAAAAGAAATTATTATTTCTCAGTTTTCCAAGTGGAAGCGCTGCCCACCAGTCTTTAATCTCCCTCGCATCAAAGCCGCCCTCACCTCACTCTCACCACGTCTACTAGAATCCACCACTTGATCCGTCTTGTGTCTCCCTGCATCCTGACCTGGCTATGTCTGCTCCACGATCTCTAACGTCTCTCGCCTGAGCTAAACACTTGCAAACAATCCATTACATCAAGCAAACACACACATGCAAACAACTCTGTCCCTCCATCACAAACCATAATACCTCAATCATCTCACTGCTGGGAATAGAGTGCCGGGCTGTGTCGAGGAAAGAGAGAGATAAATGTGGCGATGGCGGACAGAGAGAGAGAGAAAGGGGGGGCGTGGAGGATGTTATGGCAGCAGCCAGTTTTTAGAAGCTGCAGAGCTTAAGGTGCTTCACGCCCGAGAGGTGTCGTCCATTTGTTCAAATAAAAAGGGAGTGAGGGATAACATGGGTGCCGGGCGTGGTGGAGCCGTCTCACCTGGTTGACCTCCAGGAATATGTCAGGAGACTCATATATTTCCTCTGCAGCATGAATGATTCCTTATTGTCATGAGTGTGTTGGCATGTGCAAAAAATATTACCTTCCACAATTTCATTTCTATTGTGCCACGTGGATGCACAAGCAGGTTTAAGAGCAATGCAGCTGCGACAGGATGAGTCAGTGGACCGGAATAGGAAATATATCATTGTAAATAATATATTATTTTTTGGGAAACAATGTTGGAAACATTTGTTTTGTTGCTGAGAGTTGCATGAGAAAAGCTGAGGGTTAGCTTAGCTTAGCATAAAGACTGTAAACGGGGAAACAGCTAGTCTGACTGAATGCATGAGCATCTCTGAAGCTCAGTAATCAGCACATTACATTGTGTTTGTTTCATCTGCACACAAACAGTGTAGAAATGAAAAGTTGTGGTATAACAGGGAGTTATGTGTAGGACTGTGTCTTCACCTCTTGCCATCAAAACCACAACTTGTTGTTCATCAGTCATCTCCAGAGATTTCTCATTATCCAGACAAGCAGTTTTCCCAGCATCCCCTCTCAATGCAAAACTTAGCTAACAGTCTCTGGGCTTACGCTCCATATTTAAAGATAACCCTCATGTACTTTGTGTCAAATATGGCTTCTCAATAAAAAAAGTAAAATTTATAGTACACCAGTTTAAAATCCCCAAATGTACTCAATATCCCTCATTAAGAGATATTTGGATACTTTCCAAATCAAACATTTTAACATCGTTACTGTCTGCAAGAAACTGAATATCCCATTATTATTTCCCAAAACACTCGAGTGTCCTTTTAAGGTGGAGTTTAAAGATAAACTCTCCAAACAGAAGCCTCTATGGATACAAGTCCCATACCTGCATTGGCCTGTGTGCTCGCATTCACCTGTAGCACTTAGATAAGGCCTGCTGGGGCTCAGCGAAGAGAAAAGGTTGTGATGTTGTATCCTATTTTTGGCCTACATCCTGGAAGTTGATGGATTGAACTGAAATGGCCTAAAGGAGCGTGCATCTCCCCCCAGCCTCTTGTTTACCACTGAGACTCAAATGTCACCTTCAATGTGATGATTGGTGAGGAAGGAAAAGTCTGACATAGTCTGACATAGGGTGGGGTAAATGTCAAGAGAGGCATCGGCGTAGGTGGCGAGGGGGCGCACACAGAAAAAACCAAGAGGAAAACAACAACACAAAAACAAGAAACTATCAAAACTCCATTCAGGCACGAACGTGACAGCTCAGGGCGGGGCCGCTAAGGGCCCCTGACGACGGGACTCTCCATCTGTGACCCCAGATGGCTGTAATGTCAGTACAGAATGGGTCAGTGGGTTTCTGCCATGTCATTCACAAATCTCTGTCCACTGCTGATGCGAGGCAGGAGGAGCAGAGACTCTCATATTGTTACAGAAGTCTGTGACGTCAGGAGATGATGAACAATCACGTACGGCTGCTTTGGTCCAAGGGCTTTTCTGATGCGTTTGGAGCCTCACATCTTTCTGACACACTCCACTTTACATGATGGTAAAAGCTCATGACTGGCAGTTTGACCGGGAATATCTTCTCCCCACACACGTAACGGCATTGACGTTCACGTTTTTTCCTCTTGTTGAAACATGACGCTTCCTTTTTATCTATTGCACATTGTCTCGCAGGTACATTTCAGGATTTTGACAAAATGGGGCATAAAGAGGAAATAAGACAGAACAAATAAAAGCATGACTAGAGATGGATGCTACACAGCTAATTGTATGTTCAACACAGAACCATTCCCTTGCAAAGTAAGTTCAGCTCGATCAAACAAAGCGATATGTAATAATAACGTGCTGGAGCAAAAAAGTTAACAGTGATTCAACACATTTACATAATGCCGTCGTCAGGATGGGATTTGCTTCACAGCAAATATCAACTGCCTACTTTCTAATTGTATTTTCTATGGGTCCAAATATCTCAAATACTCAAGTAAATCCTGGTATTTGGGAATTTATCTGTCCGTATAAAACTATGCAGACATATTTTGAAGGTGTGACGAGGTGATTGTCAGTGATATAATATAAAAATGTTATAATAAATATACTTAAAATCAGGCATTATGTAAAGCACAATAAAGGTGAAGGAAGTGTCCATGATTTGCTAAAGTTGCAGAACACAGCATAGAGGAAAAAAAAGGAATTTTGGAAATTTCCCAAAAAAATATTGCCCAATACAAAACACGTGCTACAAAAATGTTTAGCTGCACTGAGATTTAAAAAAAGAACAAAAATAAGAAACATAAAATTTCTGTACAGTTTTTGGGGAGATTCACTGACCAGCAGTACATTTCTTATTGCACTGAGGTAGGACGGCCGATAAATAAGCCTTGTGGATGATATAAAATCATGTTGTAGGACATTCGACCTACCACAAGAGGTCTCTGTTTCTCCAATTCTACTCAAAGAGACTTTGAGAGTTCCACCTCTGATCTGAGGTGGTGGGGGGAATAGAGACATTAAATAATTACCAAAAACTTGTTGAATAAATAACATGCTGAGTATTTACTGCATCTTCACATTAATGCACCATAAAACAAGTTTAAAGTGCACTAATTCACAAAACTGACCCACTTCGTTCCTCGTTATTGACACTGTGTGATCACAAGGTAACAAACAAAAACAAATATCATTTTGGCTAAAAAAGATAACTGCGATCTAGCAGGTACTGTGCTTTGTTTCATAATATCATACTGTCCAGCAGAAACATAATCACAAGTAAGTGTTCAGCCTCATGACGGCAGATTCAGCCGTTCGTTAGAAAATGTATTTCAGCAGTCTTGAACATCAGCCACAGGCATTTTGAAAGTTGGACTTCAGCTCAGAATTTCCCTATTGCAATTTAGCTTTTGCATTTGGGGGGGGGGGCATTTATTAATCATATTCTTTTTTTATTAAGATTTATTCATTAAAAAATGTGATATGAAACCTAAATTATTTTGAAAATGGGAAAAGGCTTCAATTCTATTTATAGACTATGTTGTTTTTCTCTTCAACAATTAAATCAGAACTCCACAGTAAAACCTAATATAACAATTTACTTGTTTACTTCAATATCTGAGAAAATGTATCAAGTGCTTCCAGGAAAACCTTTTTTTACAGTTCAGAAACCTCGTTTTTGTACCATAAATAAATAAAGAAAAAAGAAAAATCCAATGAACTGATATTTCTCTTTGGTTTGATCACATTTTGGGCTAAATGCTGAGCAAATATGTCCCTGGGATTCAATGATTTTACTGCATTTCCAGTACTTATCAAATACAACTTCACAACAGCAGTATTATTGAACTAATAAAAACAAAATATATACAAAATCAATTATTCCTGGAGCTAGAAACACTAGAGTAAACTGTTGTAATTGTTTTCATTGTTGGAGGGTATTAACTACCCAGATATGAGGTGGTTTTGTTCTGGAGAGAACTCAAGCTGCTTTAAAGGAAAATAAAATATCCAACTATTATTGTTAGACTGCAAGTTTCACAGATTTATTTGTTATCCCACGAAGTTATATCTGGGATTCATTTAAACATATCACTGTGGGGATTTAGGATCTATGAGAAAACTATACCCATCCATCAGACTCGATAAGGAGCTTTAACACTTCCATTTGCAGGCTGTTGGTGAAAATCAGATGTCACAAGAAAGCAGAAATAATTCTCTAAGGAAGACTTGCATCAACACAAGACATTATAAAATAAAGAATGAAATGCAATAAAAATACTGATAATGAGACTTAAATGTTCAGTTTTTTATGTTTTAAAACAATTCGATTCTCTGGTGAACTAAAGTTCTTAAATCTCTGTTTTTCTATCTTTCTTTTGTGTGTTGGACCAATTTGACCATTTTGTTCTCACTCTCTAGAGTAGCTCTTACTTGGTCATGGAAATACTACTGGTGGTGTTCATTGGCCTATGGCACTCTTAAGATTTGGTTGATTTAATGTTTTACCATTCACCAATTAGAACCTCCATTCCGGTAATCAAATATAAAAGGCACTTATTGGCCATCATAGTCAGTGATGGGCAGGAATAAGCATCGCCATGACCCTGCTCAACTTCTGCATTACATGAGGCAAACCTCTTTAAGAGGTGATCACTCCCAATCATTTCATATCTCAAAGACTCCTCACTCGCAGCTGACAGATCCAATATTTCCCCCATCTCTCACTCCCATGGTCAAAATATTTAAAATCTTTACACTTTGTATACATTTTAGTAAACCAGCACTAAAAGTGTCCTTCCTTATCAGATTAAAACAACTTCCTTTTTTTTCACACAGTCTTTTCATAAATGTACATTATCAAGGACATATTGCTTACAGGAGACTGCGGGTAACATTCTTGAGGAGCGATGCCACATGTCTCCACGGGGACATCGAAAAAGGGAGGTGGGATGAAGGGTTAGGGAAGGATGTGTGAGGAGGTGGTTCTATTTTTTTCGCTCCAGGTAGTTGGATGGGACCCAGCCCTTGCGGGGAAGCAGGCTGTCCTGCACCTGGCAGTACCACCATCCGTTGGGGTTTCTCTCCAGTACCTCCAGACAGGTGCCCTCAGTGAAACCCATAGTCTCCTCGTCGCCACGATAGTCAGCGATTGACACGTACACATCCCTGCCGAAGTTATTGTGGATCAGTTGGCTTTTCTCTATCGGCTTGGGCCGGACAGTGGACACAGGGATGCCGTTGCGTTGGTTAACATTGCTTGTGCTGAATGCGCTCCCCGAGGAGCTCCCCAGGCTGGAGCGTTCGGCGGGCCTCGTCTGACTTTCAACGACTACATGTGGCCGCACGGTGCTAAAGGAGGCATTTCGGCGGACACCAAGAGTGGCAGAACCAGAACTATAGTGATCACTTCTACCGAGTGATTCGTTTCGCCTCAGAGACCCCGTCATGTAGTGTGCATCCTTGGGTGGCTGTGTTGTTGTCACGAATACAGACTGAGGCCTGACCGCCACCTGACGTACACCGTTTCTCATTCGCACACCTCCGTTAACCATCCCAGACGGCTTTGAGAAGCCACCGGGGGGCTTGGAAGGAATCGGCGGGGTATTCCTTCTCATGCCTGGATGCTGCTGTGTCAGACCCTGAATATTGATGTTATTGAGGGCCAAAACGTGCTGCTCGTTCTTCTCCAGGCTGTTGGACTTACTGCCACCACCACTCCCGTGTCCATCTGAGTCCATCCCACCAGCATCGCCCATGTGTCTGACAGGTTCCAGGTAGTAGGACGGAGCCCAGCCCTCCTCTGAGCCCCAACGAATGTACCACCAACCGCTCGCCTGCTTCTCCAGAACCTCCACCTCCACAGCAGCTGGGAAGCTGATCTCAGAGTCTTGAACTTTCTTATAGGCATCCAGAGAACGGTAAACACTGGGGCCTTCCACATCGGAATCACCGCGACTCCCTTTCGAGTAAACCGAGGAGAGATCTGAGGTGCTGCGAGAACACATCGAGTCCTCTGATGAGATGACAGATGCTGTTTCAGAGTCGTCCCCACGAGAGGGTTTGATGCTGTGTCGATACTGACTTGTAGGCCTCAGCTGCCGTCTCAAAGAAGTGATATCCATCCTCTCAGGGCTCTGCGGCTCTGATTTAGTCAGAAGGGGTTTAGGTCTGACAGAAGGCTTGGGCCTGGTGGAGGGACTTTGACCTATTCTCTGCTCCACGTCCCGAGCAAAAGGAGGGACTTTCTTGGGGCCTCTGCTCAATTCATCAGATGAAGAGAGGGGGCTGTTGTCCTGGGACCTGAAGCTGATGTCTACGTGTCTGCCGAGGGTCTGACTTCTCCGATTCATCTCTGGCGTCATTGTCTTCATTGGCCTACCAGCTAGAGGTGAGGATCCAGAGGGTCTTCGTGGGACAGTGGAGGAGTGGTAACTCTTTGGGGAGTTGGGCTCACTGGAACCTTTGGCTGAGGGTGCTTCAACGCCACTGCTTGGCCTGAAACCATCGTTTTCGTAAATACATTCTTCTTTAGCTCCCTCCTCTACAGACCTGAAAGAGGCTCTTCGACGGCTGAATGCGGGAGATGCCTTACAGACAGGAGGGGAGGCCTTGGAGGAAGGAGGGGAGCTGCGGTACTTGTCACTGACCACGTTGCTGATCTTCACATCCAGGGGGCGCTCATCCTTCAAAGAATCTGTCTCAGACTCACCTTCGCATCCAATGGCTGGGATATCATATTCAGGTTCCTCGTACACAGGCCTAGTAGGTGGCTCTGAGACCTTGGAGGCAGATTTACCCGGAGGGGGAGCATCTTCGGTTTCTTGTTTTTTCACAGGTGGAGCAGGCGGCGGGACTTTGGGCCGGGTCAGGGTGCTGGTTCGACGGCTGAGGTTGGGTTTCTTGCGTTTGTCGATGTATGAGCAGGGGGCCCAGCCCTCCATCTCTCCAATCTGCACGTACCACCAGCCTCCAGGGTTCTTCTCTATCACCTGCACAACAAAGTTATTTTTAATGAAAGAACTTTGTCTACTGAAATGGGTTTGGATTAGGACAGGGACGTGGGTAACTGTTATGACCTACGATAAGACGATCAATGACATGCTGATTTAATAAACTCAAACATACAACAATGAAAATGGTTACATCACAATACACAAGAGTCTCTGCAGAGAGTTCTTTCTACAACAGGTTCAAACACACATTTCAAGGTCATATTTCTATTGGCTCAGCTTCCCTGTCTGTCTGTGAAATACATATTCAACGAGGACCGTCAGTGTCATCTCAGTGGCAACAGTGTAGATCGAGCCTCTTACATCAGCCTTCTGTCCTCCACGGAAACTGATGCCATCAGAGATAGAGGACTGGAAATCTGCTATAGTGTAATACTCTGCTTCCACAGCAGGGGGCTCTGGTGGTTTAGGCAACTGGAATCCCTGTAAAGCAACAAAGGAAGAGAGATGAACCACTGACATCATCAGTGTATTGTGTCTGACTGGGACTTTACAATGAATACAGCCGAAGACACAAAGATAACACTGTCATTTATCTTATGATATGAGTTATGACTCTACACGATAATAAAGTCATAGTGTGTAGAACATATATGTTTGCACAGATTCAAAATATCACAGAAAGCTGAAATTGTACTTGTGTTGTCATTGTCCTTTAAGGGTTGGAAAGGTTGCAACAGTAATAGACAGTGAAAATAGTCTCAGAAAATAATATTTCACAATTAATATTATTAATATCTGTTGCAATGACTTAAAGGAATGAAAAGAAAAGTTTTTTTGGTTGAACACATTAGTTTCTAATTTAGCAGCAGTTATGGAGGAAGTATTCACATACTTTATTAAAACACTAATACCCCTCTGTAAAAGTGACTCTGTTACTAAATTATTAGTGAAACGAAGTATGTGAGTATTATAGCACAAAATTAAAAATCATTATTACGTGTATTAAGTGACTGTTATGCTATTTCATATTATATCATTACATTATTATTATTATGAACTCATTATTGTGAAATGTCTTACCAAGTTGGTGTCTCTCCTTGGGGGAGGTTTCTGTCTCAGATTTGGAGACCCTGACAAATAAAATGACAGCTAATTAAAATGTTACTGCAGAGTACTCATCCTTCATTAGTTCAAAACTCTGCTGGGAAACACAAATGTTCTTAGTATGTGAGTGATTCCACACAGCAAACCTTTTAAAATCCCATGTTAAACAGCCTCACATGTTAGTGTGATTACAAATAAGTATTATAACATCACCACCACCACCATTAGATACACAGGCCATGTTTCTTACCTACAGCATCGAAGCCTACACAAACAGGAAAGGACATGTCTTAATGTCTCATAGGAATCCTCCTCCCTTTAGCTACACTGATTCATTTGCTGGTACAGAAAGATCAATTGTCTTGTATCACACTACTAATACTCACCAATTTCCACCCTGTGCGGGGCCACTCTTGCAACTGCTGGGGACCCTGGCTCGCCTCTCCCTTTATTCTCGTTAAGAGCGGCACTCGCTGCTATCCCCAGACACGGGCTGTTGGTGTCACGGCCTGCACTCAGCCTCCTGCCGGTCTCAGCGTTGATTTCGGAGCTAAAGGGCATGGGTAGGCTGATCTCACTCTTGGAGATGTGGCGCTCCGGCGTGGTGCTGCCTTCTCCGTCGGTCTGAATGTCCTTCTCGCTGACCGACTTCTTTTGCAGCAGGTTGCTGATTTCCATGATGTTGCCGATGATCTCCACAGGGCCCGTCAGGGTCTTCTTGCGGGGGGAGAAATCGTCTTTCAACTTTTTTAAGTAGGAGGCCGGGGCCCAGCCCTCTTTCCCTAAGTATCTGGAATGCATAAAGATGAGATTATTGATATTTTAGTTTGCTGAAAATTCCTTATTTTACACTATTTGAAGGATATTTGCACCAATTTCACACATAAATGCCAGTTTATTCCTGAAGCGTGTCATTGGACTTCTCATAGGCTTTAACATTAGAAAGCCTGAATTCTATTCATTCTGGGTGCATGGAGTTTGAACGCTAAACTAAAACCAAATGGTGGTTTTCTGTGAAACGTAGTTAAAAATCTGGATATCTGCGTTCCTCTTGTGTCATCTGTTTTTCAAACCATCTTTTGTGACTCCCTCAAATAGAACTACTGAGGAAAACACTCCACATATGCTGGAACAATAACCTACACAAAAATAAATGAACAATTGTAAATGTGCTCATTCTCTTGTATTCAAGTCTGCAATACACAGAGTAAGACGCTGTGTATTGAAAAAAATGACACTATTCTAATTCAAGCGAGGTGGAGGCAGCCAGAGGCAGTAAACAGACAACATAATGAATGCAAGGAGACGCTGCTTCCCCACATTTCAACATTTGTTGTTATGCTAAATGAGTCACTTTAAAATGCTTTGTGAAACAATAAGCAATGTTTCGAATGCAACTGAGTCATTTGCCTCTAGGTGACGATTTCCTGCTCAAGAGAGAGCGCTCCAACTGCGACCACAAGGAGTCCTCGTAATGCCCCTTGCTTGGACTTGGCTGCACAGAAATAGGCCCAGTGAGAGGAGCATGACTCAGACAGACATCTGGAGGATTATTTCTTGTTGGACAGCGCTCTGAGATGATTCGTTGTGCATTGCAGTGACGGCAGAGGAGTGAACAAGCTGCATGAACAAGCAGTTTGTGTCTGCATGTTAATGATTGAAAAAAGAAAATCTGCACACTTAAGGCTTCAAGCACAAGGCTCTTTCTTAGACTTCTGATAAAGAGTTGCCATCTTAAATATCCACAATCCAGAGAAGTATCAGCAATACAGAATATATAGACTACATATCATAGTAGATATCATAATATATATATATATATATATATATATTTCTTAAAAATAGTGTAGAAAATACAAATTATAAATTATAAATAAACTACTACTACCAAATATGAAAGGCGTCAGTGTAAGTGATGTTTTGTTGATCCAGCACACATCAAATGGTTTTTCAATGGAAATGTAAGCATGTTATCCATTTACCACAAATTTCACAGCGGCACAAACACCTATACGCCTGTGTGTGTATATGTATAAGCATGCACACTCTTAACATGCATTTGTCTGTGCGACGCCACGAGGCAGCATGTGATAGCAATCAGCTGTGCAGTGGAGCTCCACTCTTATTCCCCCGGGGATACAAGGAAACAAACAACTGGCAGGAAGTACACACTGGCTGGGTAAACAACACACACATGTGCTAATATGCAGAGAGAATCACACATACACATTAGACGTCCCAGGCAGAGCAGCCAGTTGATCTGTGCACATCGCCATATGTTAATGGTTTTTCCTCGATACCATTACGCAAATGAGAGCTGCAGAAAACCGCAGGCTTGATCACGGCGCTAAGCGATGACTCTTGTGAACATTGGCAGCGTTCTCCGAGGACTCGTTCGCTTTGAGAGTGGATGAAATTTGACAGATTCCGTTTCTCTCGACTGTGTGGGGTTGACGCAGCGGCCGTTCTGTCAGTGTCTGCTCACCTGATGAACCACCAGCCCTCCAGGTTCTTTTGGATGACCTCCACGGTGACCCCTTTCTCAAAGCTGACTTCATCCTTCCCTTGACTGGTGTATGGCTGTATCGTCACATATTTCTCTTCTGGAGATGATGAGAGGAACAGGAGAGAGAAAAAGTGAGTGAAACATTATCATCAGACTGTCTTACATTGTTCACTTGAACCAGGACATAGTTTACACTCTCCAAAAAAACCTTAGGAAAGGAAAAATGGTAAGTGTGACCTATTTAGAAGACTGACTATTTCCATACCAACACAGACACATGACATATTGTCATACAAAATAATGTGAAACAACTCCCTCTACTGGCTGAACCTCACCCTCATGCTGTGGCCTCATTAAAGCTGTTTGGACTCTGATCCAGTAACAATAATAATCATAAAAATAACTTTATTTATACAGCACAGTTCACACAGCAAGTGCAACTCAAAGCGCTTCACATCAATAACACATATAGAGTGTGTTCATGTCCCTCCAGAAGGAGATTCCTCCACTAGCAGCAGGCCTACATCAGGGCCTCCCTGGAGGAGATAAGATTTTTGGACCAAGCTCAACCCTGTCAGATCCCTGACCGCCACTCCTCTCTCACGCTCCGCTGGGCTTCGAGGACCCTGTGGGGAAGGAAATCCTACAATGGGTTTAGTGAGGAGTAAGGGAAGTTTTGGGGATTTATAGACACCAATGCAGAAGAAGGGAGCAGCGAGGGAGACAAAAGATTGGTACATAGAAGCAGATGAGACCAGGCTGAGTTAAGAGAATGTGACCTTAGAGGGCTGAGGGGAGTAAGCTTGTTAAAGGAAATGTGAGGGGCATCGATACTATCTCAAAGGTATAGATGCATGCTTTCAATAGGAGGGGTATGTCCAGTCAAGTTCCTCTGCTGCCAATCCTTCAGAGCAGCTGAGGTCAATAATGGGGAGCGGAGTGGAATGTCTGGCCTTAAACCTGGACTTGCAAAGCATGTTGTGTGTGTGTGTGTGTGTGTGTAGAGGCTGGGGTGAGGACTTGCAGATGGACAAGGAGTAACAAATGGGATGGCTTACAGAGGAATCTGGAACGTTTACCTAAATGTGTGTGCTAAATTGTGTTGTTGCATCTAATTCCCAGAGGAGTGGAGCAAAAAATGAAAGATGAAATTAATCATATTTATTAATCACATCTGTGTGTGTGTGTGTCTTTCATGGGCTGTACACATGCCTCAGTGTCCATCCCTGAGTGTGTGTGTGTGTGCGTTGGCTCCAGCGTCACACTGCAGGGGCCGAGCAGTGAGTTGAGCTGGCGGTCAGCAGGACTCTATAAATCAGTTAGGGACCTGCTGTAAACTACCGTGGTCTGTGACTGCTGTAAGCAGGGCGAAAAGAGGGCGTCTCAGAGCGTGAGGCACGTCCCCGGCCGAGTACACAGTGAGGTCACTTCACCGTCAATAGCCAATCTGCACCCTGAGAGAGGTCAAGACACCCTGACCTGGCTTTGTGTAAGAGCGACCGCAGAAGAGGTTCAGTCATTTCATTTAATTTCCAAATGTGCCCTCATTTTATTGTTTAGATCTCAGGAGCAAGTCCTCATCTTCTTTATTAAGCGTCACGTACAAGGCAAAGAAACCTGTGTCAGCAAACAGGCCGCAGATTATACGACTGCTTTCTTCCATTAGCAAATTACATCCTCCGAGAACATAAATCCTACGTGAATGGTCTTTGTTTCTGTCCTTTCTAGTGCTACTAAATCAAGCTGTATCTCAAGTGTCTGTGCAGAGCTGTAAAACCTCAGTCACCCACTTCTTATCACAAGCTCAGCAATGCATTATCACACAGGAACAGTGGCGCCTCCATTCACAAAGACAGGGATGGAAGCAACATGGAAAGACTGAAATTTGATATTTGTCAAATTCTAGCTGTGAATAATTAATTTAACAGTGCTAGAAATGTTGAGGTAACTTCCTCTCACACCAGTTTTCTACACATTGCACAGGGTGTTTTAACTTTCTGGCTCAGTAGCGACCCCTGCTGCACCGAGCAACTCCACACAAACCATACCTGCACATACTGGCACACATCTGTTCCAGATATGACTGAAGCAAAGTGGAAGTTAAGGCGGACGCGGACAGACAGTGCAAGTTAATTGGACAACATATCGACAGACAGTGACGCAGTCACAAAGCAAAGAGTGGTGGTGAATGAATATTTGGAAAATCCACAGGAGCTGAGTTGGACATGACTCCAGGCAGCAGCAGCAGCTGCAGTTTCACGCTGAGACTATTTTCAACATTGGAAAAAAGAAAAGCTACTGGTCCAGGAGCTCGTAGCTTGTTTGCAACGCAGCCAGTCACCGTCCCACTGTCCTGTCTGACCTTACATGAGGCTTTATCAGTGTTTCCTTCAGCCAATAAATCACAGACACACTGCAGTGTTTCTAAATCCATCTTAGATCAATCAAGTTTGACTTTCTGAATATGTTACATATCAACAGGTGCAGAAAAAATAAAAGGCTCCAGCACAAACCTCTTCCTACATTGGGACCATCTGAGAACTGTCTGTGGTGACCTTACCCAGATACCAAGCCATGTATTTCAGAGTACAGCTGCTCTGATTTCTGGTCACATGACTTTCAAGCAAAAAGATGTGCTGAGAGTGGGAAGTGCATCAAACCGTTAGATTAGACAGATCTGGCAAAGGTTTCTCAGGTTTTAGCCTCCGTAACAATATTCTACAAATAGACTGTGATAAATGATGATGAAACTGCAACTCATGCAGCAACACTACCTGGCCCGAGGTTTGGTCAAATATTTGGTTTAAATAATAACAATAATAATGCATTTTAATTCATGGCACCTTTCTAGACACCAAAGGACACCAAACAATGCATAAACATAAGTCAATACAATAACGCAAACAGAAAGAGAGAAATCGTTAAAATCAGGGTAAGAGGCACAGACATTACATCACATAGGATGTGTCATGAGTGACTAAGACCAAAGGTTAAAATCTGATATAGTGATGGATATATAAGATGTTCAGCATATGAGCACAGAACCTTTGATTTCTACACAGGGAGCATCTCCATGTCAACCCACAGCTTGTTTTGATGATGGAGTACTCTAAATGATAAAAAGTGTTTATACGTGTTGAGAATAGCAGGAGATAGTAGAAAGCACGATAGTCATCATGGGGGGGTCAGATGTTTTGAGACCATCTATAACATAAAGTGGGCATGTTTGTCATATTGTCCATTACACATTCCAATAAGAAATATCTCGCCCCACGCTGTTGAACGATCTGACAACTTGTTGAACTTGCGCACAAATCGAGGAGCTATCAACTGTGCAAAAAAACGAAACACTTTGGCAAGTTAAGTCAAGAAGAAGAAAAATGTGAGTTGAACTACTGCCTGACACTGAATTTCAGAGCGGGGCCTCCACAAGTGTTTCATGCTCTCGTTCTCTGCTGGTGACTCATCCAGAGGTTGAGGTCTGTGTGAGTAAAACCAGTGAGCATGTTGGGCTGCTGCCCCACTTTTACACTTTCCACTGGCTCAATTGGGCCAAGTCTCACTGCGAGACATGTCTAATTAGGTGACATTCCAACAGACCTGGATAACACTGTTCCCCTGACCTGATGTGCTACACACTCTGGTTCCAGTCCATGAAGGATGAAAATACTTATCCTTTAACATTGCTACTTTGGTCACCCTGTGAGTAAAAGGCAGTTAGTTTGAATTGCTACATGAGCTACGCGGGGGGAGTGAATGAGTAATGGTCTCCTGTCTCTCAACAGCTTCCACTGCTGCGCCCCACAAAACCAAACAGAGTGAACAACGTGGAAATGAGGCCTCAGCTGCCAGAGCTGATCATAGTATGACTGTCTTTCTTTTACGAGGTTCAAACATGTGTTTTTTAGAAAGCAGCAGGGGCCCAGGTTGTTTCCATGTGAGTGTTATTTCTGTCCTGTACAGTACGTTAGTCACTGCATAATCTCCAGAGTGGAAGCACGCACCACTCGACATGAGTTTGCTCTGTTCCATCTCCTCTGATTGTGCACTGAATCTACAGGATGCCCTGCTGCCCGGTGGTCTGGGACAAAGGGAGAAAGGGGTAACACGAGCCGGTCCAGCCAGGCTATATTATGATAATAACTATGAGGCATTTGATAGGAGCCCTGACTAATACTGGAACCAGACAGGTGCCTCACTGATGGTCTGAGAACGTCTGGATGAGGAAGTGCCCACTTTAGAGAGGTTTTTTCAGACTCTCTCTCTCTCTCTTTCAGCATTAGAGCAACAGTGACTGGACATATCCACAAGTAATTTGCTAACTGTAAAAGAGTATAACATTTCCAGGTTTGTGCTTCTTTGTCAAGACTAAAGCAAAATGTGAAAGTCATTATCATCGTTTTAAACCTGGAGGGAAGCTTTATGTAAACAGCGTTGCGCAGTCAGTTATGTTTGTGAGGCTCAGCGGCCGTCGAGGTCGTTGCATTTGTGCCGTGGGGCCTGAAAATCCTTAATTATCCAAATCTGTTTAATACAGTCCAGTTATTTTGTTGCTCAGTGCGAGCTGAAGAGTGTCCAAGTTTGATGGAGTGAGATTTGAGATTTTTCTGTCGGAGCTGACTCATGGCCACCCAATAAGCTGCTCCCGGTGGACAGTCAGGGCCAGTTGTTGTTGGCTGACAAGCAAGGGTGTAAATGAGGTTGTTTACCACATGGCCACAGAATATGTGAAAGTACAGGAGAGAGGGGCCACAGAATTAGGCTCTGCAGAGGTAGCATATACTTTTTCAGTGTATGAGGAAGGAGTATAATGAATGAGTGCCTTTCAGAAACATTTCAGTTTTCGTCTCTCTTTTATTTCCTCAAGAATAATTGTAATTCACACCTGATCAGACAACACGAATTTGCTAAATCACCTCCTGTCAAAGGTGTTTATTGAGAATTGTTTGACCTTCTGCATCTTAGTCTTACATTACCTGAGCATACACTAATCCTTTTTTTATTATAAATGTAAAAGTTTATGGTTTAATCTAAGAAAGTATCTCTAGTATGTGTCTTTTTTTCTTTTATTGTTTTTGTGCTCTGATTCTGTGGGATCTTCAAATTCCTTTTAACTGTTTCCTATTATTTGCTTTCCATTTGTCATCTAACTTGTGAAGCACCTTGTAACTGTGTTTTGAATGGTGTTGAATAAAAAAAGTGCATTAATATGAATATTATTATTGTCATTATACACATACTAACACTTAACTGCAGTTTCCACAATACGTGTGTGTTCCTCTGTGGAGAGAAAATGACTCAGCATCTGATTCCTAATGGCTGCCTGGGTGGGTTTGATGTATATACAGAGCTCTATTTTAGTGCTGGTGCAGAGTGCAGTGGTTTCACAGGTGAAGTCGGGCTGTTTCCTTAACCACAGCAGTTTGGTATTTTTGTTACTCGCAATGTGCTCCACAGATAATCTGGTGCTTTTTGTTCCTTTATATATTCGTCACTATTCAGTGAAATCACAACTATTTAAACTTGTCTACCATCATGCAACTCTCTTTATTCAATTCTGTATTTATTTCAGCTTTTATTTATGAGTGCTCACACATGATCATGCAACAAAAAAAATAGTATTTTCTAATTCTTGCCTAATTTGTCATTCCCTGCAGTTGGCAAAGGACTTCTATACTGAAGGCCTTTCCTGTAGTCTGGTGACTCATTTGCAGCCATCTGAAGGCAGCGTGTATCTCTTCTATCTACAGTCTCTAATAGCAGTGATGTTGTGCACAGTCAAGGCACAGTTACACACTTCACATCCGCTGCTTAATTCTTCTGCAACTGCCATCAGACTGTTGCAGAAACCTATGTGCTCATCATGCGCACATCAAACATGTGGATTCGATGAATTATTCTGTGGTTTTTACAGTTGGGCCCTAAAACACAGAAAACAGTTCACGCAGTCTGTCTCCTTCTCTCTCCCCACAGGAATGTCCGCTCTGAAACACCAGGTAACCGGATCCTCTAATGAGTCTGGCAACACTAAAACCTGTTTAATTAGATTACAAGAAGATTTGTTATTTTAAACATCCTAATGTATTTATTCCTTTTCATTATTCAATCGTTAGTAATATTTTGCGGTGTCTATTTTAAATTCACTCTACACGTGACTCTAATGTATTAGTTGACAGCAGATGGTGGTGGATCGCAGTTGAAATGTACTTGACAATAGTAAGATCTTCAGCACATCGAGAGAGAAATCAGAAGTGAATTCAAGACGCATCATCAGTGTATTTGAGCTGCTGCATTCACATTTGAAAGTCTGTATGTCCCAGACAACCACAGGTTCATTCTGAGGAAAACCCACCGCAGGATTTTCAAACTGTCAGTGCGTCATGATCTGAGGAATCGTGCTTCTAACTGGAAATAAAAGTAGTAAATGCCATCGTTGTCATGACCTCTCATGGCCACCTATCATAAATTCTTTCTGATCAAGGCATAGACGGACAAATAAATATCAAAGTTCAAATGGAACAACCCCAACACACGGGGCACTGAGTGTGCCCTGCCCCGCAGGCTTCATCAAAATAAGATAAAATAGAATCATTCATCTGGGTTATGTGTACACTTACCCTAACTCTGTATTCTGTGTGTTTGTGTGTGTGCATGTGCGGTGTGCATGTGTGCCCGCTGTCGCTATGTTCACCTCTGCTCTGCTGACGGTTGACTATACCCCCGAGGGTCCAGCGGCGGTCCAGCCTCTTCAGATGTGCCTTGCGTCTCTTAGTAACTGATGAGGATTAGGGGCAAATAAACAGAGAAAACAAAGAAACAAACATGGAGTTATTGTGAGAAGCAAAAGTTAGAAATGTAAGCAAAAGCAACAAAAAAAAGGAAGTTGTTATTAGCATTAAAAAAGGTTTCTTCAGGATAAAGGCAAAAAAAACAACCTCTGTTGGTCAGTAGATCATGTTCTGCTGAAACAATAAAAGTAACATATAACCAGTTAGTTGCTGGGGTTTTGTAAATTATTAATTAATTTATGCTCTAAAACTTATTCTGGAGTTCAATTTAAGACACATTTCTTAAATTCTTGTACTGTAGTGTGTGGACTCAAAGGCAAAAATAAAAATGTGTAAGATTACATTTGAGCTTTTGGGGGCAGCACCTGCCTGATTTATTCAGTATGGATTGTGGCTAACCACTATGTGTTATACAGCATTAGCACTAGCATGGTGATTTGATTCATACTTTTTTAACATTTGACCACACACAGCATAATGCACATTGATTTGCTACAGTTTAAAAAGGTAAACCTGCAGGCATCAGTGTTCTCCTCTGTCAAGAAGGTAAGTAGACAGCTACAGCAGGACTTTCATAAACACACAGCTTTCTGTGGAGTTTCAGTGTGTGCCGTGCAACCACAGACCTCAGCTAAATCAAAGGATTTCGTATCAATAAAACTATTATTCATGTATTTAGTTAGACTAATAAATGCTTCTAATGGGATAAAGTGCCTTTCACAATTTCCCACGATCAAAGTGGCATTTTTAAATCCCTTGTTTTGTCCGACAAACAGCACTGCACCGTTATAAGTATGCTACAAGCCACATTCACACACACACATTCTCACCCACACACACACACAGACACACGGGGACACCAGCCGTAATTTGGGGTCAGTGTTGCTCTTCCTCCCAAGCCAGAGCTGATGATAATGATATAAAACAGAGAAAAGGACTGAACACACAACATTAGCTGTGGTTTCTTGACTCCACAGCCGGAATCCACAAATGAGGAATAGATTATATTTCTGAATATAAATGAGGAATACATTTTGAGCATCCAATTAGGCATATACATCTTTTTCTTGCATTTTTATTTTTAGTGAAACACGTTGTTGCATTGTTAAGAAAAGTGTTGTATATATTTATATATAGTTTGTTATTTTCATTATATAACATGTAATATAGGATCCAATTAAATCAAAAACATGTTACAAGTCATACAATTGTCAAAGTAATTTGCTATTGCAGTAGGAAAATTCTGATAGATCAGCTCATTTCCTGTTTTTTAGTACCTAGTGACATAAAGAATAAGAAATGATGACAATGACTTGATTTGTAGTGTGAATAAAACATAATGTTAATTAATGTTAGTTGGTGATAACTGGCAGCAGCTAACATGACTGTAACCTCCACTGATGAGTTCAGATCATATTGACATGAACTGTTATATGATACATACATACAGTATGTTAGTAGGAGTCGGTAGCTCTCGACCTCTTTCACTACGTATTACTTCAAACCTTGTATAATAAAGTAGCTGTCATAACATGATGAGTCATTTTCCTATCTTAATGCATTCTCCGAGGCCATTTGAAGAGCAAACACATTAATGAGGGGAAGAAGGGATAGAAACAACACTCGTCTTCTATCTATTTCCACTGAGGTAATTCAATTCCTATGTCACTCAGTCTCTCCATCTCATATCCTCTCTTCACCCCCTGATCTCTCCATCTTTCCCTATGCTCGACATGCGCCCTTTCCCTTTGTGCGCTTCTGCTTCTTGTCATTTCCTCTCCCCTTTGATTCCTCTCTGCTTCCTTCCGTCCCACTGAGCACCACCCTACTCCCGTTGACCTCCTAATTGAAATATCAGCTAAGGGAAGGCACACAGGGAAATGTTATTTCGAGGTAATTTCAGCGGGGCTGGGCAGCGCCTGTCGGTTCCTCTCCAGCTAGCTGAGCTGTCAGTGGAATCAGGTTGCAGACCACGCAGAGATAATGAGATGTAAGAGACGACAGGAAGCGAGAAGGGGTAGATCAGAAATAAGAAGTGACGATGTGTGCAAACACAAAGACACCAGGCCTAATGGGAAAATGGGGGCCACTGACAGAGGATGGGGGGAGTGTGTGTATGTGCATAGATGTGTGTACTTGTACGTAGCTGTGAGCTCAGTCACTTCCTGCATGAATGCACTTGAGTGCATTGGTTAACAGTTGTTTTAAATGAGTGTGTCTTTTAAAACAGCTGCCAGATCCAGATCCAGGACTAAAGGATAATTCTGGTTTATTTGAATGTTGTTTAGATAATTGAGTTCAACCCTTGACTGCTTGCTTCTTGCCCAATTAGATATATTTATTACTGTTAATGTTGTGTTGTCAGTGATCAACAGAGTTCTCCACTGATTTAGCATTGCACTGTGGTAACACTGTCAGACTCAAAATGATCAGAGGAAAAAAGAGAACGAAAAATCGGCACAGAAGCATCGATACATCGTTTTTGTTCCACATGTTCTCTGGCGTCTACGTTGCCTACATTTACCCACTCGACTACCAAAAGTTTGGTAAGAGATTCAGGTATGTTATCTTATGCTAGAAGCAGCTAATGTCACCTTCAGCTGCTAGACTGACAGCAGGAGGTCTGTTTAGCTTTAGTCTGACTCAAGTGACTCACTTGTGTAAAATCCCTTTGTGAGTTCCCCTTTAAGCCCATTTACATGGAGCACAATGAATCAACAGAATGGACATGTGGCAGCCTGTCATAGATCTGATTTATTTTTTTAGACTTCTGATAATAAGCTGTGAAATGTGCTCTTTTCCACACTCTCTCTCTCTCTCTCACACACATGCAAACACATTGACAGACTGGCCATTGGCACCACTCAAAAAAATCCAAGCGTACTGATTGAGCCGTGTGCATCTCTCTGACAGACATATCATGCTCGGCCAGCCGACCTTGCTATAACACGACATAGCACATGAGAGCGTGCAACGTGCATGTTTACAGGACGATCAATCACATCAATCTTTTTCCCACTTTGTCATGATTAAAACAAATTATGAGGGAAACACTAACTATTTTCTAACTACATGGACAGTTAAATTATTGTCTTTCTCAGGCTACATGGAAAGTGACGCCAGTGCCTTTGCAATGTTTTGGACTGGCAAGCATCTACATGTGTTCTCATATAGGAGTTCAATATGCTAAATGGGATGAGAGCAGCAAATGTGTGACAACTCTGTTGAAGGTGTCATAATTCTAGCACAGTGTGTGATTGTCTTTCAGAAAGTGTACAGTTCAATGATGCATGCCGATTAGCACATCTTAATGAGACGCAAATTATTTCTTAGATAATCCAGTGGCACCTATACAGCACAACAAACTATCCTTGTTGAGATCTAAGATTTGGTCGAAAACCAGAAAGGGGCTTATGAATCAGTGATGAAATGCTCCTCTCGGGCAGTCAGACTAAACATTAGGGAGGAAAGGGTCACAACAAATTGAGGCTCCTGCAAGAGTTGCTGCCTCCCGGGGGAGTTGAAAAGAATTTTCTGTGGTGCCAAAATATTGCAAATCCTTTGGCTGCGGTCTGGTACCATTTCACCATGGTGCTGCGAGGGGTCTTCAAGGTTCCTAATATGTGACTGGAAGTGTGTTTGTGAGTGTATGAGCAAGTAACTTCTGCTTACTGCTTTAGGATTTAAGATTCAGATGTGGCCACAAATAAAAAATAAAAACTATTATTGAAAAAAATTAAAGCCTGTTCTATTGCAGACTTGTAAAATAACGAGTCAGTCAAACATAAGTCTTTCTGTGTTTTATGAATCTAACAATGTTGTGTGTGTCTTTGTGTGTGTGTCTTTGTGTGTCTGCGCTAACCTTCTCCAGTCCTGGAAGTTCCAAGATCCAAATCGTCTCTGGTTCCATTCTGGGAGTCCAGGTATGTAGCTGGCACCCAGCCCTGCTCCTCTGCTGTGCTGACAAACCACCACCCTGGAGAGAGGGAAAAGACTGGTGAATAAAAGGCAGAGTTGATCACATCAGCGTCGCTAACAATCATTGAGGCCTGTGGGATGGCAGCAAGCATTAGTCCCACATGGTGTTTTACACCAATCAATGAAAATAACATATCACATATGTCAGCGGGCACAATGGACCGTGATGGTAAATGAGCATGATAGCCCATTAAGTCTGTGTATAATACAATACATCTAATATGCAGGGCATGTCTGTATCAGAGTAACAGAGAGATGTGAGACGGCTGGAGGAAGTTTCACCTACTTGGAAAGCTCTCATCATTACTAAACCAGACTCTGAGAGAAACTGGAGAACGTAGTGTTGCAGCTTTAAGTAAAACACAGATCACCAGAGGTTTAAAAAGCACTTCGGAGCTGTGCAGATGAAGATTTTAATGCATTACTTTTCATGACTTCCTATTTTGAAATGTGTTATTCTGTCAGTAACATGCTGTGACACTGTCATCACCAATCTTAGTGGCTCCCACTTGAGCAAATCAGCATTATGCAGTATAACAACACACAGACATCCAAGGAGCATTGTGAAGCTGTACTTATGAACAACAGAAGGCTAATATCCTGGTAATAATAGCAAACTTAACTTTATGACAATTTAAAATCTGGTGTGGGAACAAAAGTAGTTGGTGGATCACCAGAGTTGTTACCATTTAACTGAAAGGACCATGAATGTCTGTACATAATTCCATGGCAATCCAATCAAGAGTTGTGGAACCATTTTACTCAATCAATAAAAAGGCAAATGTGGAAGATGTGGTATCATCTGAATTAATGAGTTAGGACTCACTGTCTCACTAAATATGGGTAGGTGGTCAGGCCACTTAAAGGGAAAAAATTTGATTTTGAAAATAGTCATAATATTAAAAGAACTTTGACAATATTTAATGAGAAAAGTGGTAATTTTATGATATATTACATATAAACATCTACTTCAACTTTGTTCTCAATAACTACTTTATACTTGTAATATTACAACTTGTCCCTGGCCCTAGTACTATATATTTTGACCCTGTGTTGCTAAATTGTATCAAATTTTATCACAAGCCACTCGAGACCAAAGCTTTCAACATCATGGGGTGATAGAGGAAAAGCTGGGAGATCATCAAAGTCATCAGGCGTCATTACGTGTACATTTAAATTCTACTGCATTAGCACTAGCATGGTGATGACTTGTAGAAACACATGCTTCATCCGAGTCACCGCAGCATGCTGACTTGCTACCTAAAGATTCTCGAGGAATAATGTCCTGGGATGCTTTGTAAAGCCAAGAATTCCTCGCAGTAGCTCGGAAACTTGCTGGATGGTCCACACTTTCCCAGACTCCCTTTGGTTGCTTTCCTCCAGGTCTGCATAATCATGTTTCTTTAGGGAGTCTCGTGGAACCGAAAGGCTTTCCACTCAGGGCTGAATCATAAATCAACACTACACTACTGAATTTGAACTCATTTTACATCAACCTTTTACCCCGACCAAAGTGGTAGAGATCATGCTTTGCCTGACGACTGAAAAATGAGAAGTTTGTGATCACTCTTCTATTATAGATTTCATTTTAAGTTTACAAAAACACATTTATATTCATCAATAGCACATTTTGACTTCTCCAACTTAATTTAAAAAAAAGTCTTAGTCCTGTGGAGTGTTGACTTTGTAGCATTCCTATAGTAACTAAAAAACGGTCACAGAGATTTGGCTTCATTAGTGTTCCAGCATCTGGCTACAAAATAAGGCACAACAACTCTCTTTCTCTTCTCTGTCTCTACACACACACACACACACACACACACACACACACTCTCACACACACACACACACTGTGTATAGATGGTACAAGCTGGCACATAGCAGTACAGTATTAGTCAGGAGGGAATAGTAGTTGCTCTGAGCTTATGTTTGATACAAACACCCTCAGTTTCACCACTATCCCAGGGATTGAAATGGGCAACCCTGCTGTCTCAAGTGTCATTTCCTGTGTAAGTGTGATTGAATGTGTGAGTGCAGTTACAGAGACAGTATAAAAAAGATGATTCGTTTTTTTCTTTCTTCAAACGAGTCCAACAATTAGGTCATAACTGCAGCAGTGTGTTTACGGCCTAATGGCTCAGCTCTATAATGTGGTTGGAGAAGCCAGGAGGAATCAACCCATCACACCCTTTTTTATTAGCAGGCAAGACACCAATCACATGAACACATGCTATGAACGAGGTGGAAAATATATGCCTGTAACACAGAGCTGTATCATAGGGAACAGTCATGGTAGCAGGGCGAAGGTGAGTTCCACAGCCATATATAGAGTAGCCGAAAACTGGAACGTGACTGGGAACATGGATTATTTTCAGATGACTGCACTGCCCTGTTGTAATGTAATACACATAGCTATGTGGGTAATCATTTAAATAAATTAATGCTGCATAAAAAGTTGAATTGTTTGTATTCGTGAAAAAACAATTCTTTAACAATATCCTTGATTACAACAAAGAGGTAATGGAATCAGTCGTATAATCCAGTGCAGTTATTCAGAAATAATAAGGTGACATAATCAAAACAGTTTTGTTTGCAAGTCGTTTTTTCCCACATAATAAACGACTAATAATTGTGTAATCAATCATCTAAATGACTGTTCATTTCTTTGTTGTTCAGCAATTCAACAACGAATTAAACTTATGTAAGCTCACTGAGGCCAAAGGCACCCAGACTGGGACAGCTTGTGAGTCAGTTAACACACAAAGTCATACTGAAACACTGTCTCGCCTCTATTTCCCCACAGTGGGTCATGTCTCACAGCCAACACAGGAGTTAAGGTAACCTGAGGGTCTACACTCACACATGGCGTTATGGACAGTGCCTGCAGTGTAGCTCGTCCAGCCTGAAGTTCAACACAGTTACACTACCTTGGATTGTCTGTCCTCGCCTGCTGACTGTCCGGATTCAGACCACGCCAGCTTAGATTGCTTCGGACCCGTCAGTATTAAAGCAGAATACTGCTTAGCCTCAACTAGTTGAAGTAGATGTTTCATATCGAAATGCATTTGACACATCAGTTATGCTAATTAAATCTTATACCATAGCTCCTGGTTGTTTGTTTTTATGCATGAACTGTAGCAGACTCTCAGGCTTCAGATTCCTCTTCTAGTGGAGAGTTAGTGTTTTCATTCCTGAAGGCTTTAATTTATTTTTTCAGCTTTGCTGGAATATAAAAGGTCCTCCAAGCAGTGAGAAAAGCTTGCTCCGTATGAAACACATTAGGGCTTTCATAGCCTGATTCATTGCGACTACTCAAAAAGCTAAAGACGAATTGGAGCCACCTGTACAGAGGAGAGGACGATTACTTCAGAGACAAATGCAGGAGCTATTCTTCCATAGTCCACCTGGCACATGGTGGAAAAACAGAATAATAACTCTCCGGGCTGATAGAGGACTGAGGTGACCATTCACTTTCAACAGTACCAAGTGTTACCCCCCCC